GGGGAGAGGGGGGGGGGGAGGGGAATGGGCCCGATCTGGGCACCCTGTGCTCATCATCCCCCCTCCCCCTCCCCTCCCCTCCCTTTCCCCCCTCCCTCCCCTCCGCCCCCCTCTTCTCTCCTCGCATCCGATCGGCGCTCTCTCCTCATCGGTAGCGGCCAAGTGGGTCAGAGTTGGGCGAGCAAGCCGGCGAGACGAGGGGAGGCAGGTGGCATCGCGGCAAGAGCGGGGAGGCTGGAGGCGAGGGAAGGCACGACTTGACTCGACGTGAGGGAGAAGAATGGCACGTGTGCGTATGTGGGATGTGGTATGGGTGGGTATGGTGGTGGTGGTGTGCATGGGCGGGCTGAAGCTCGCACTGGTGCCGAGCTACGCCTCGACCGACTACTACGTCCACCGCGCATGGCTCGCCCTCACCCATACCACGCCCATGGCCGAGTGGTACACCGATGCCACCTCGCAGTGGACACTCGACTATCCGCCGTTCTTTGCCTGGTTCGAGTACCTCCTCTCGCTTGCCATGCCGTACATCGAGCCGTCGCTGGTCGTCAAGATCGACGACGCCGGCGCCGCAGAGCTCGACGCGGCCTCACCCCGGGCCAAGATCGTCCATCGCGCCACAGTCATGGTCGCCGATCTGGTGCTGGCGCTAGGCGCGGTGTATGCGGTGTATGGCTTTTGGTACCCGTATCCGCCGCGGTCGTTTGCAAAGGTCGAGACCGTCGACGACTCGGGCACTGCCGGCGGCATCCGCGGCGGCGGCGGGGTGGCGGCCGGCGGAAGCTCGATCTGGTCGTCGCCGCAGGCTATCTCCCTCGTTCTCATTCTGGGCTCACCGGCGCTGCTCCTGCTGGACCATGTTCACTTTCAGTACAACGGCATGCTCACTGGCTTGCTCCTCCTCTCGATCGGCGGCGTGACGTCGCGGTCAGGCTACGCGCTGACGGCGGCGGCGTACGCGGCGCTGCTCGGCTTCAAGCATCTCTATCTTGTTCTGGGGCTTGTCTACACCGTTTTTCTCTTCAAAGCCGTTGTAGTGCAGCCGAGGGCGTCGCTCGGCTCTATCTCCCTCGCGCGGTTTGCGATCCTTGCTGGCATTGTTGTGGCTGTCCTCGGTGCTGCCTTTGCTCCATTTGTGGCTGCCGGATCGGGGTGGGCCATGCTTGAGCGGCTGTTCCCGTTCAAGCGAGGCCTTGTGCACGCGTACTGGGCACCGAACGTGTGGGCGCTCTACTGCGGCGCTGAGGTCGCGCTCTCATCCGGCTCGGCAACGCGGCTCACATCGGGCCTTGTGGGCGAGGGTGCGTTCTCGGTCCTGCCGAGCATAAGCCCCGGCACGACGGCATTGCTCACGGTGCTGGCCATGCTGCCGTCGGTGGCCAAGGTCTGGCTGACGACGCCTGCGGGCGCGCTCGTCGCCGCCCCCCGCGGCGATGCAGCGCGCTTCCTCCGGTACCTGCAGCGGCCGGCGATTGTTTTTATCCACGGCCTCGTCGAGGTCTCGCTTGCCTCATTCCTCTTTGGCTGGCACGTCCACGAGAAGGCGCTCATTGTACCGCTCATTCCCCTCGCAGTCCTCGCGCCGACCTCGCCGCGCTACGCCGGTATGTTCACCTTCCTCCAGGCCGTCGCGCACGTCGCGCTCTTCCCGCTCTTCCCGCCGGGCGTGCTCACCCCGCTCAAGATCGGTGTCAGCGTCTGCTACACACTCTACATCTACGCCATGCTCTCGCCCGCTCTGCCGAAGCTGTACGTGGCGTATCTCGTCGGCCTTGTTCCCATGCTAGGCTTTGCCTACCTCGTCGCTCCGCTCGCCCTCCCCTCGCTCGTCTTTCTCCCGACCATGGCCATCTCGCTCTACTGCGCCGTCGGTGTCGTCATGGCCTACCTCTGGATCCTGCTGTACTAGCTTGGCCAGCCCGTGATCGTTGATCATCAATCAGGTGTGTTGATAGCGGGCAGGTGGGAGGGGGGCATGAGGGAGAGGGGAAGGGGGGGGGGGGCACCACCTCGGCGCCTCTGCCGCCATACCTCTCTCTCTCGACCGGGACAGCACCATGTTGAAGGCTGTGAGACGGATTGGGAAGAAGAGCTTCAAGTTCAAGTACACTGTCACCGTCCACAGCTGCCAGGTTGTCCACACAGCCAAGATGTAGGTTGTGGGCATGGGTGTGGGTGTGGGGTTGGGTGTGGCGGGAGGGGGGGGGGGGGGAGGGGGAGGGGCAGGCACTCACTCTGGGTGCGGGTGCGGGTGCGGGTATGGGTGCGGGCGCGGGTGCATGGGCAGGGCGCCGATGCCGCTGATGGTGGCGTGGACACGGGGTCCGCGCAAGGCCTTTACCCATGCCGGGTTCGTCAAGGCGGGAGTGATCGGGTGGGAGAGCGAGCTGTCGATGGTGGCCACGCTGTATCAAGAGTCGGACGGCTCGGGCTTTGAGAAGAAGATGTACAAGTTTGCGCTGAAGGAGGATCAGGGGAAGAAGGGCGGGAAGAAGACGCTGGCGGCAGTCGAGCTGGATCTGGCCGAGTTTGCGTCATTGGATGCGTCGGCGGTGCGGCAGGCGTTTGATCTCAAGCCGGCGTCGTCAATGGTCCGCTCGGCCGAGCTCGAGCTGACCATTGCTTGCGCCTTTGTCCGAGAGTCTGCCGACGACGACGCACTGACGCATTTGCGGCCATGTCGTGGCGGACGGCGGACGAGCTGGCGATGCTCTCGTCGGAGATGGGATCGGTCGACCACGACGGCGCCGGCGAGTCGCGCCGCGAGTCGCGCTATCGCGAAGAGCTCCTCCGCGAGACCGAGGCATATGGCGCCGATGGCGCCCGAGTCGCCGAGCTGGAGACGCAACTCGAGCTGGCGCAGGCCTCAGCAGACGCCGCCGCGCAGTCGTGGACCGACGAGCGCGCGGTCTACGAGGCGACCATTGCCAAGCTCAAGAGCCAGGTTGCGCGCGAGAAGGCCAAGGCAGCTAGCATCAAGGACGAGCTGGCCGAGGCGCGGGCGAGCGCAGGAGCAGCAGGCGGGAGCGGCGGCGGGAGCGACGACGGCAAGTACCGCGCGCTTGCCAAGCAACTCGAGGGCGAGGTTCGCGAGCTGGAGGAGGACATAACGGCCATCGAGGACGAGAACGAGGTGCTGATGACCAAGTGCCGCCAGCTGGTGGCCGACAAAAAGGCTGCTGAGGCAGAGGCTGCGGCACTACGCAAGGAGCTCGTGGCGAGCAAGCAACAGCGCAGTGCGAGCAGCGCAGCCGAAGCCACCGCCGCCAGCAGCGCAGCCGAGCTCGAGGCGGCACGGCAGGAGGCGGCAGCAGCACGAGTCCAGGTTCGCGAGCTAGAGGCACAGAATGCAGCGCTGGAGCGGCGGCTGCGCGCCATGCCGCAGCTCGCGCGCACCACGTCGGCGTCGGGCCACATCCGCGACATCGAGATCGAGCGCGAGGCGCTGGGCGTGGAGCTCGAGACCACCAAAGCTGCGCTCCGTGAGCTGGAGGGTGAGCTGATCGGCGCCAAGATGGCGTCGGCCGAAGCCGCCTTTGAGCTCGAGACGTTGCGCGGCGAGAAGCGCGGCCTTGCCAAGCAGCTGGCCAAGGCCAAGCTCGCCTACAACGCGCTCTCGGAGCGGATGACCGAGATGGAAGTCAAGTCGCTGTAGAAAGGGCGTGTGCGATGAGGAATACAGACATTGATGGCCGTGTGTGTGTGGGGGGGGGCTGGGTCAGGTCGAGACGGTTCGGTCGGTCGGCTGACGACAACTCGGGCGACGGGCGGGCGCACCTGTCTCTGCGCTGGCGCGATGGGGGCATGGCGGTGGGTGGTTTGGGCCGGAGCAGGAGCGAGTGCAGGGTATGGGCTGACGCGGTGGAGCGGAGACGGGGTGGGGAGAGGGCTGAGCTGGGTGGAGCTGGCGGTGGTGGCTGCGTGGGCGGTATGGCTCGTGCACAAGTGCGCGGTGCTGGCGACGAGGTTCGAGGTGGAGAGTGGATGCGAACGGCTGGCCGACGGCGGGGAGCCGATCGAGCTTCTGGACGGCTTCACCACACACTCGCGGAGCCTGACTGCCAAGCACAAGTTTACGTATCCGGTGTGGATGGTGCTGGCGGAGATGACCGAGGATGACGACGACGACGATGGCGACGGCGAACTCTCGCCGTGGATGCGGCGGCTGGCGCGCGACGGCTCGAGGCTCGGCGGGTGGTTTGGGGTGCGGACCGGCGTGGATGACGAGGTGTGGGGCGCAGGGACAGTGGGCCAGCCGGTGGCGAGGCGGGTGCGTGCAGTGGTGGCGGCGCATGCGCCCGAGGCAGCGCCGGTGGCGCGGGTCTTCATGCTCTCGAGCGCACAGGCTGCGGGCATGCTTTTCAACCCGATCACGGTCTTCTACTGCTACGATGGCGACGACAAGCTCGCGTGGCTGGTTGCCGAGGTGACCAACACGCCGTGGGGTGAGCGGGTGGTGTACGTGCTCCCGAGCGACGGCGAGAAGCGTGTCCGCAAGGCCATGCACGTCTCGCCGTTCAACACCATGGGCTACGACTACGAGTTCCAGTTCAACGATCCGCGGAGTGGCGACGGCAGCGCTCTCTCGCTGACGATCACGCTGAGGAGCGACGATGACGATGCGGCGGCCATGTACGCGTGCCTTGTGCTTCGTCCGGTGGCGGCGAGCTCGCGGCGGGCGTTTCTGGCGCACAAGGCGCTGACAGCGCTGCCGCCTGCGGTGGTCACCTGGCTCCGGATCCACTTTGAGGCTGCGGTGTTGTTTGGGTGGCGGCGAGTCCCGTTTGTCAACCATCCCAAGTACAGCGGAGGAGAGTAGCTGTGGTTTGCGAGGTGGGTGTTCATTGCTCGGCCGAGACGCGGCGCGCGGGCTTGTCGGAGCGTGTTGGCGAGGAGCTTGTGGCCTTTGGCTGCGGCACAAAGGCCTCGTTGTAGTCGAGGGCGGTGCGCATGTCCTGGTGGTCGATGGACTTGATACCGTGCGGGGCGAGGAGGTTGAGGAGGTAGGCGCGGACCTCTTCGACGACGTCGAGGCGCGAGGCGTCCATGGACCAGATGGCGACTGAGTTGCCCTTGCGGGCGCGCATCTGGAGGGTGATGCCCGAGATAAAGTCGAGGTGAACAAACGAGTCGTCGACGGCGGCGATGGTGACGTCCTGCCAGACCGACTTGATGAGGCCGCGGTTCTTGCCGCATTTGATGAGCCAGCGGCCGCCGTTGACGTTGCGCGGGTCCTCCCACAGCGGCTTGATGCCGGCCTTGAACATGCGGAGGTTGCAGTATGCCGGCATGTCGCGGATGGGGCGCATCGACTTGGAGTAGCGGTCAAAGCCGGTGGCGGTGGCGAACGAGCCAACGACGCGGAGCGACTCGTCAAACTCCTCGGTGGAGACGCCCTTCCACGGACACTCGTCAAACCAAAAGACCCACTTGTACGGGAGCAGGTCCGAGGTCTCGGGCGACTCGGACGAGCCCGAGAGCGAGCGGACTAGGCTCGAGTCGGGCGACTTGGAGTCTGTGGCGACTGACTCTGCGAGCGACGAGACAAACTCGGAGGTCTCCTGCAAGGTCATGGTAAAGCCTGCGCGCCGCTTGCGGCCGGGCGCGGCGTGGGCCGGCTCCTGCGACTTTGCGCGCTCGGGCCGGTCTGCCGAGTTGGTCACCGCCACAGCGGTGGCAACCACTTCGGGGTCGAGGTCCATGAACGGGATGAACGAAGACGAGCGGGCACGGCGCGAGCGGCGGCGCGAGATCTTGGCCGTCCCGCGGTTCGACTGCTCGTGCGACGACGACGGCGGCGGGGCACCGCCACTGTTGCGGCCACCGCCGTTGCGGCCACCGCCGTTGCGGCCGCCGCCGTTGCGACCACCGCCGTTGCGACTACCACCGTTGCGGCCACCGCCGTTGCGGCCGCCGCCGTTGTGACGCTGAGCCCGGCCGCGCTCGGCGTCGGATGACCACGAGGTGCGCCCGTTGCGCTTGCGCCAGTTGTTGCGCCGGCCGCCGGACTTTCCGCCGTTTCCGCCGCTGTTCCCGTTGTTCCGCGACTTGCCGCCTGTGGAACCTGACGAGCCGGAGCGAGTGCCCGATAGCGAGCGTGTGTCTGATGGCGAGCGCGACCAGCGGTCGGGTGAGTCTTGGACGGGTGGCTCATGTCCGGCGTCGCCCGGGGGACGGAGATAGTCTCTGTCAACCGGCAGCTGCTCCCCGGCCGACCACGACGAACCCTTGCCGTTGCGCCACGTGTTTGTGCAGCGGTCAGAGGGATTGGCGGGAGCAGGCGCCTTGCCCGCGCTTGCCCGCGGCCCACGCGCTCCACCGCCACCCGCGCGGCGAGCCCTGTCGGCCTCGCCAGGCACTTCTTCCGAGACAAAGCGCCTCCGCGGGCGCGGTGGCCTCTGAGTGGTGGCCTGTGACGAGGATGCGCTTGCCAGCGAGTCTGTAGTCGGGCCGTCAGCCGTGCCCTTGCCCTTATCCTTGTCCTTGCCCTCGGCCGCCTCGCCCTCCTTCTGCACCACACTCGCCCAAGAGGCCGAGGCCTTTGCAGCAGACGACATAGCCCGACGGGTACACACACTCCAGACCTGTACCCCGTTCCCCGAGTGTTTCCTCGTACCCCACCGTGAGTTGCTGAAGCGAGGTATGGGCATATGGGCAATCGGGTGTGTACGGGTGTGTGTGGCTGTGTGTGGCTGTGCTGGCGGGGAATTATTCACCGCCAAAAGCATGTGGAAGGTCAGGGGGGGGGGGGGGCTACCTAGTGTAGGGAGGAGGGGAAGGGGGGAAGGGGGTGTGTGGGTTGTATGTGTGGGTGGAGAGGGG